GCCATTTTCTCTGTTTCAAGACTTCCTCTAGTTCCTTAGACATAGTGGACTTGATACCATCCCATAGCGAGCTGATCAGATTCTCAGCGTAGGCAACGAGGTGCAGACCTTCTTGGCCCGGTAAGCCTTGCAACTTGAGTACATGTTGCTTAAGCTTGATGTACGGTTCAAGCGCAGCCTTTGGATCTTGTGGGAGAAAAGACTTTGCTTCTGCTCGGAGCTTTTCGGCGTCTTGCAAAAGGACAAGATAACTTTGGGCTCGCTCGACAGCCTTGATCTTGTTCATGGGCGACTTGAGTCGCTCAATGGCCTGATCAGGTGCATCCGAGGCAGTATAGATCTGGGCACGGAGATCAATGCTCTCCTGAAGCTTTTGAAACTCTTGAATACGAGCGGTGAGCGATCCTTGGCGGTCGTCGGCTGTGCGCCGGGTCTCCTCGAGCTCTTTGACAGCTGTATCTAGCTGCGATTGCAGCTGGTTACGTTGAAGCTCGACATTTTCGAGTAGGGTATCGAGGTTCTCGAGATCGGAAGTGGACTGAAGTTTGTCGTCCAGAAAGTCTTCAACTCGAATATCTAGCGAGGTCTCTTGGGAGTGAGTGGCTGCAGTAGCCATGTTGAATATAGTAGTTTTAGTGATGGTTGTCATAAATCCCATAGCGCAACGTAGCTACTCTTGAATGACGTGGGGAGCGAGCCCCACTTTACTCGGTAACTACATATTTCCGTCTAAATAAACATACTTCTGGAAGCCTTATACTGGCCTTGGATGAACGACAATCACGAAAAGCTGAGAAGGTTTTGAGCGGGTAAAAAATCGGTTGAAACGTCTAAAGACCGACTATTGTTCGAGGGGCAAATTGCAATTGCCATAAGGGGAACATTTGCGATTCTGAGGTGGCTGAACGTCAGGGATTTTAATTAGTCGGGTGGCTGGGCTCCCCATGATGGTAGTCATGATGAATTCAACGGCTGTCTCGGGAGTATAAACTCGCGACTACAATGAAAAGGATGAAGGAAAGTTTCAAATATACGTTGATCTTGTTCTATGAAAAGAAAGGGCGTCGTCAGCCATATAATCGTCGACGTACATTTGGTGTTTACTTTTACGAGCTGACAGCTCATCACCGCCATTGCGCACTAGGTAGAGGGAAGTGCACTTTAATTGTTTGTATACCCACATGATGGTAGCTACAGTAAATAAACAGGGACCAGCCTATCCTATTTTGGGCTCTTGGATAGTGATTCAGTACAATGCCCATATAGAGAGAGTATCAATGAATCGTACATGGCTTGAACCTATCTGTCCTCATCAATTGAGAGTCAGAGATGATTGTTTTGTTCCCTACACCGCGTGAGAACCTCGTCTATCCCGGAAAAGTGGATGTCGTGAGTTGTCTGGGCTGAGCAAGGGGCACGTAGTGGGCTCGACTCCATTACCCAAGAGTCGGGGAGTTTTAAGTCGAGCCACGCGTGCTTGGGGAAACGGGGCAGGAAGGGAAAAGAGAAGTCCGCTGGGCAGGGGGGAGGATTGCCGTGGACGCTGGGTATCACCGCGATCTTGGCCATCAATCAGTGTCTGAGCTTCGGAAAGACAGAACAGGGCAGCCAGTAGTTCGGATCAATTGAGATTCATGCCAAACAGCTCGTAAACAGGAATGGGCGCCTATATAAGAGTTTACGATATAGGTGGACATCCAGATCAAGGTAGAAGTACAGACGAGTTCAAACCAGGACATGTTGGAGACGGCGTCAGATTGTCATGACAACTGCATTAAGCTGAGGAGGTCTCGGTATAGTTCTGTCCTTGGCAAGTCTGGGCACTGACGAGCTGACAGGGTCAGAACCAAATCAAGGTCGCGTTTGGTCGTGGGAGAGCACTACGTAAGATCGTAGATCCTAGGGTCCAGGGATCAAGCCCTGTCTTGAACTAGGAAGTTGATTGAATCAGGCGCTGCTGCAGGTCCAATTAGTGTTCTTAACCGCTAACGGTTTAGACCCGGACTACGCTTACCTCTCCTTCCCTCTACAGTGCTGGTTAGCGGGTTGCCTGGTGCTCAAATGGACAGGAAGGAGCTCTCGCAGCGTCAAGGGTGGCTCCACATCTAAAACGTCACCGTCCCCCTGCCAACCGAAAGTAAATAGGTGGTTGGGCACTACACTTCTTCATCACCCACAGAAAAGTCCAGAGGTTGGTTACCATCCCAAGTCTTCCCAGCCATCCAATATTCGCCCAAAATTCTGATATACGAAACTGCGCTACTAACTGACTGACTGACCGCTCCTCTCTTTTCCCTCTCCTTTCCCCCAAGGAGCTCTCTTCTAACAAACCCAATAAGTCTTCACCCTCATTAGCAGAAAGTGTGAACTGATCGTCAAGGCTTTCGATTAATCGTCGCCAATCTACTTCATCTTAACTCACCTGACTTGGACTTCAATCCCCCTTACAAGATCTCACTATTGCAGGGTCCGACTTTCGCTCGTTGATCTCAACCGTCGCCTTTAACCCGAGCACATTCCAGCATCGACTGTCTACCGAGACATCGATTCCTACAGTCCGCATTCCATCGCTCATCAGCCTGGCAAGAACTCTCCATTACCGAGACAGATTGACTGATCCAGTGGAAGACGCCTACCAATTCGACAAGTTCGACGATAGTTTCTGAAAAACTACGTGAAAAGAGGGTAACAGAAAGAGCGAGGAAATCAAACGATCACAGTTCTGCGCGACTAGCTCGTCACTCCCTGACTGGGAGACGGCAGCAGACAATCAAGTTGTGTCTGTCGCGACTTCAATCAACAGTATATTGAAGGAGGGCAGTGTCAACAACATCCACTATGGCTTCCAAGACGAGTACGAGCAGCAGCTCGTCCTCGCGGAGGCAAAAGGTGCAGGTCGGATGGTATCGTAAGTGACTTGTGTCGAGACATCTAGACAGATGTCTCACCCTTCTCCCAAAGTATGCGGCTAACATGTGTTTTCCAGGCTTTGTACCATTCCTCGGCTACCACCATGTGTTGATGATTCTCATCGCTATTACCATTATTCTACTATGTGAGTAATTCTCAGTCTTCAGGTATGAGACATTTACTGACCTGAACCAGCTCTACTACTTGCTGGCTGTTCATCCTCTTCGCCACTCATCCCCGATATCTTCCTGCTCTCAATCTACTACAAGAGTTATGATGCAGTACCCGACACAGCTCAAGTCGACTACAACCTTCACTCAGCCATTGAAAACATTGCCGGCGACGCTTCGCTACAGGCCCGTGTTGGTTACTTCGGTATTTGCATCAACCCCGATGGCGGTTCTTGGCTGTGCAGTAACAATGCAACTGCCCTCGCCAAAGAGGTTGATGTTGACCAAGATCCTCTCAACCTCATCTGGCTCGCTGCCCAGTTTAAGGATATGATTGTTTTCCCCTACCTCATGTAAGTATTTCCAGATGATTCAATTTCGAACACCTACTAATTGGGTTTCAGCATTATTGCCATTATCTTCGCCTTCATCTGCCTCCTTCTTCTCGCCACTTTCCCTGGTTGGCACGAGGAGACTGACTCCGAGGGTTCTGACCGCGAAGTCAAGCCTTTTCCGTCTCGACCCGTCTCCCAGATCGCTTTGGCTCTGATCTTCATCTCGGCCATTTTCGTTCTCGTCTCTGTACTCTGGCAACATACAGCGTCCGTGGCCGCCTCGGTTATAGCCCAGGATTTCGGAAACGGAGCTGTCAGGAGTGGTGTCGGTACCAGCGCCATGGTGTTGGGTTGGTTCTCGTTTGCACTCCTGATCGTTGTCACAATCGGTCTTCTCATTATGATCCTCAGTATAAGCGTGCTCAGTTCGATGGTATAGGAGACCTCGAATTCACCTGGGTCCTCGCGGACTATTGAGGATTGAGTTATCGAATAAATAATGTACATACGTCGACTATATTCTTCGACATGGAGACGGTAAGACTAAAGACGGGTAAGCGGCATCAGCATCGGAGTTCCGGAATTGTTTTTTTTTGTATTTGAAAATACTGAGCGAATGGTCATAATCTCGGTCATTCAACCTCGAAAAAGGGACGGCACATACACGGCACCGTCCCGCAACGATTTATTCAATTTACGACACCTCCTTCACGACCTGAACAGATCTCGGATGATCGATTTGATGGCCTTTGAAAACAGAGGTTTTATGACTGAGACTTGGTTATGGTTGCCATGAAGTGAGGCGAGGGACGCACATCTTTTTTTGCATATAGACTGCGGTTTGACCAGACATACAACCGATCTCTCGAGATGAGAGATGAAGGGGAAAGCACGCGCCACAAGAGACGATTTTGACGACCACGACACAAGGACGTGGTACGAGATATGGGATATATGTCTTTAACGCGCAAGGAGGAACAGGAAATGTTTATTGACATGTATTATCAAGACAGTTTAATGTCACGTTTTCGAAATTGAGGATTTGGATCTGATTTGAACCATTTTGCACTCGGGCTTGCTCTTGTTTGTTCTTCTCTTCTTGATTAAATATGTTTGGAGAAAGTCGAGATGATTTATATATTTCTGGGAAGTCAAGAGGACGAAAGGATATTATTTAATATTGACCAAATGGTTCCTCACGCTTTGACAAATAAGTTACAAGACACATATTTTAATATTTCCATAGACTCGGTCGTGACACTTTCATATACAACTGAGAATCCTAACACTCTTTGCGTGATTCAATCTTGCCCATATTTGACATGTTTCATAAGAGTAAACAAAACAAGTTCTCCGGTTCTGGCAGCCATGTGTCATTACAGGTTCGTCTTTACCAAATTCAAGCATAAGTGAACATAATAGGACACTGAGGGTAACATCTCACTACTGAAGTTTTCCAACATTCTCTACCATTCAACATTGCTGTCTTCTCTCATATCTGTGTGCACTTGTTCATCAACAATCAGGTCAAATTCAGACTTTGAAGAAGAGTAGTCTGAGCCTCTGCTGAGTTTGCATGTTATCACTAGTGTGGCTTTTTGTCTTGCTGTTGTAACGATGAGCCTGGCTCGCTGAGCGTACGTCCACGCCTGCTGGAACCAAGGCGTATAGTTTGACGGCGTAGATTGGGCTTTGCAGGCTGCCTCTCCTGTGCAGGAAGCTCAACAGGTGTTATGTTGACCTGCACAGCCATTGTCTGATCGCCCGACCGGTCATGGTGGAGTGGTGCATCAACTATTGGGACCATGTGATATGGAGAAGTATCCAGTTCAGCAATCGGCTGGGAAAGCAGGGGGTTGTTGTCGTAGAAATATGGTGATGCTATAGAGATGGTTGTAGAAGACGAGTTTGTCCATACAAACTGGCCAGGGTAGCGATTAGAGCAGCTTTGGCAATGCTGGCTTGGTGCCTGTGCGGTAGAAGAGAGTACAGATAGAGCGGACGGGCGGTGGTGGAGAGGGCTTGAGATGTTTGATGATAGAGATGAAGATTCGTATGAGTTTATACTGGCTTGACTCAAGTCGGAGACACTGTCTTCTGGGTTGTATGGAGGTAGTTGATTTGACTCGCCATAAATAGATTGATTTCGCGGGGGACCATTGATTGATACTTGAGATGGAGCTGAAGATGGAGCTGGAACTGTCACTGGTCGCTTCATGCCTTCCCTCTGAGAAACTGGTGATGGTGTTGGACAGTTTTCAAAATCAAGCGGGTCTCCGAGAAGCAGAGAAAGCCCTACTAGATCTTTGGTGTCATACTTGGAACTTGTAGTTAGTGATCTTGATGGAGCAACGCTTGTCATGTTGACTGGAAGAACTTCTGGTAAAGAGTCGTAGGCGTGTTCTATGTGTAACGTCTGAGAGCTCGATTGGCGCTGTAGAGATGCGGGAGCTTGTAGTGATGATATTTTGGAGTGGGCGAGTGATTCCGTATTTGCGTTGAGAACTATGATAGGTGGCTGAGGTGCAATAGTCTGGGTTACCGGGGGTTGTTTCTCAGAAGGGACTATTGAGGTTGAATCAGAGCACTGTAGTCGGGTGTACCTGTGGGAGAAAAAGTTCGACTCACTTGTTGTATCCCCCAAAAGATCTCCCAGTAAAGCAACATTATCAAATACTGTAGCTTCTTTCACGATGCCTCTCTTCTCCTTGCGCTCTTCCGGTCCAGCAATAGGAGCCATAAGAGCAATCTGCCTCAAGAAGTTCAACTCAGCCAGCACAGCAGCATGGTGCCGACTAACAATGGGTTCTTGACTCCTGAACTCGGAAGACTCAACAAGAACCCATGCCATACGCTTGGAAAAGGTTGTTCTAGAACCTCTATCGTTTTCCGGACGACATCTCTCGACAATCTCACAGACTTCTTGGAGTCCGTTCTGTGCGGATTCTATAATTGTGTGCACACGCTGAAGAACCTTTGGACGACGCTGAAGGAGAGGAAGACAGTCGTTTCTGAGTTCGATGAGGTGTTGGAGATCTGAATCACATGTTCGAACGAGCTCTAGACTACGTCGTATGTCGTTTGGGACTTGATCGTGGTCCAGAATCCAGGCTAAGAAGTGATAACTTGCTTTGAGAGGGTTGGGCATGATGGAATTGGGGGTAAACACTCTGCTTGAGAGAGCGAAGCCTTCCCCAAGTTCGAGACTCCCCTACTTCGAAAACTCTTGACGATATGTAAGCGATGTCCCCTAGTTATTGAGTTTCGAGTTGCATGAGGCTTATGACAGCACGTGCGCCCTCCTCGTCTCCGCTCGAAACAAGATGGAGAAACCAAAATCAGGCTGTGGCTGGGATTATGTCTCTGATCTGCACATTATACTTTTATCACATTTATGGTCTCAGGTATACTCAGAGCTGAGTCCTGAGGTAACACCAACAACAAGTGGCTTGCATATGAGAAATCAGGCTCCAAGAGAAGGATTTGACTATCACAATACTAACCACTCAACATTAAGGATTAAGCAGCCAAGACACTCGGAAGTCAATTTGTGTGTCTCGGTCTGTTAGTTTTGGTTCCGTTTGCATACATGGATGGTCATTCACACCTCATGTTGTTGGCGTTTCCTGTTGACCTCTCTGCATTGCTAGTATGTGTTACAAGGAAGCGATGACACTACTCCGTCAAAAGTCGGCAAAGCCAAAAGAAATTCAGTGAGATTGACAATAACGTCTCATTATTCAAAACTGGGCATTTGTTCCGCTGATTTGTTATTTGCTACATTAAGTTTCGTATACTGGCAAACTAACTACTAACAAACGACGGATAACCTGACAATCTTACCACACGCCTATGTCAAAGAATTGACTCCTGGACATCCAAGTGACAGCATGCAAACCAAAGCTTTTCACCTCTTAAAAAGGCATTGTTTCTGCTGCAGCAACCTCCTTAGGCGATCCATACCTGGTTCCGTCATTATGGCTGAGCCTCTCCAATCCAGGACACGCCACGATCCTCCGAGTTCTATCCAAGGGGGTGGCCTTGCTGTTAAAAATAAATCTCCAGTCGCCTGGCTGCGATAGAAGCACATAACCCAATCTGGTGCACTCAATGATGACGGCTTGCAGATGGTTTGTTTGGTCCTGTCGGCTGGCAGAGTCCTGTGCAACGAAGAGTTGCAAGAAGGAGTTCAGCTCATTTGCCAGAGAGTGCGCCTTGGGAGAAGCCTCTTCCGTCGAAAGGGGAAGTGGCGTCCTCTCTGCAGGGTTGGGATGAAGAAGCAGAGCAGATAGGCTTCGCCACCTGGAGCGTGCAAGTGAAATTGCTGTGGGACAGTATTAGCGGCTCTGCTCATCAGGCTCCGAGGTTGAGGGAGGAAAGTGTCTTACCTGGGCTGTCTGGGTTTTCAGATGTGTTCTTTTTCTGTGCCATTGCCGCTACTGCTAGTGGGAGCATAGACAAGTTACCCCCAGAGTTGAAATCAAGGCTCTGAAAGATGATGTGCGAGAGAACATGTCTCAGCCCAACTCGAGAGGTCTTGGGGGTGAGGCACACAGCGGCAACCACCTCTGCTTGTAGTCCTGATAGCTCCGGCGAGTAGCCAATATGGACAAGGCATTGAGCCACTTCAGCTGAACTCGCCAAGACGTGGGGTTCATGGTAGTATGTCTCGACGTGCTGGTAGATGAGCTCTGACAAAGAGCATAATTCTGCTTGGATTTCCTTGTCAGGGGTTGCATCGAGCAGGAACTGTCCGAGTTCAGCATCGTGTGTTGACGATGTCACATTGACTTGTGGTCCATTTTTCGATTCTGTATGTCGCGACTCCAATGCAACAAAGCTTGGGGAGGATGTAGTGCTCTTCCCTCGTCGTCGAAAGAAAATGAACGCTGCTGCAAGGCCTATAGCAAGACCTGCAACGATGCAAGCTATAGCAACTCCAGCAACAGCACCATCCGAAAGTCCTTTTGGCGATGCGTTCGGTGTTTCTGTTGCAGAAACTTCTGATGTATTCGTTGGCTCCTTGTTTGATGTGATGCCAGTCGATACATTGTTGGTAATTATTGTACTTGTTGAAGTATCCAGCAAAGAACTACTTTGATCTCGTAGAGAGGAGCTTGGTACAACCAAGCCGGTACCTGACACTGGTTCAGCTGTTCCTGCCAGGTTGGGAACTATTATCGGATTCTCATCTGGGAAAGCCGTGGCAGCGAACGTTGATATGAAATACTCGTCGTCCGCAACCAGTGTCTGCACGCCAGCCGAATATACTGTTCCGGTGTGGAACGGTAGGTCTGAGAACATAATAGAAAACTGTGGTAGAAATGGTGTTAGAAAAGCTACTATGCGAGAAACCCGTAGTATCAATAGGAATAGAGTCGGAGATGGCAAAGACACAAAATTTGTAGAATCCACAACTGTAATGATTAGATTAACCGTTGTATCATAAATAGAAGCCAAGAAGCGCGGCCGGACAGGTGCTTTTTATCTTGGAAAATCCTCCAGTTCAGCCCTTGGGCTTATTGTACGGCTTGCCATCAACTGGCCAGACCGGCGTTTCTCTAGACTGCATATTCCCTGTCAAGCCACTCAGCACGACTGAGCAGAAACATGCATGTTTTATTATCAGGCTGAGGTCGCAGTCAGGAGTTCACAGCCCGATCTGCTGCATGACCCGCACACCCTCGAGGGTGCAGCCAACAAACCAATATCTTTATGGCCAAGCCAGGCTTGGTTGCAACGAGACAAGCGGCAAGCCCGATACTTGAAGCTGTTTGAACTCTGTCAGTCTCCCAAGACTGGAAAGTAAGTTCGCAGCCATTAAACTATTCCTCTTTCCTCTAACATAATTCAGCACGGCGTTGAAGCAGCATGGAAGAACACCCCGATCTTGTTGTCTCTGTCGACCTAGGCACAACTTTCACAGGTAAGTAAGTATGCGTTGAGAGCAACCAGGGACACCAACTGAAACTCTTAGGTGTGGCCTGGATGAGACATGGAATTCCTATACAAATCGTCAACGACTGGCCCGGCAGCGACGACAGAGGTGATCGAAAAGTCCCTACAGCTACCGTATACAACGCCGACGGAAGCATATCATCGTGGGGTTTCATGTGTGCCGATGATGACCATGACTCAAGCAAAACTCGCCGCGAGTTCTTCAAGATCTTCCTGGACCCGGACACACTTGAGGCAGCACAACAACAGGGCCTGACCAATGTTCCTCGAAGCACTGGCGAGGCTCGCCAATTTGTGACCGATTACCTGAAGCTGGTATACGCGCACGTCAAAGACAGTATAGAGATCCGTATGGGAATAAAGCATGTTGGCGGTTGGGGAATATTGTCCGTACTGTTCCTATTCAGCGCACCGACGACTTGGACTAGCATAGCCGTTGTCAACGCATTCAAAGGCGCAATACACGATGCTGGTTTTGGAACTGAGGGATCCAGGCATTCGGCATTAGTTGACCTCACAGAATCTGAAGCTGCAGCCGTCGCGACTCTAAAGACAGGGGCCGTGAACCTCCAGGCTAACAGCATTTTTCTAACCGTCGACGCAGGTGGAGGCACCACTGATCTAGCCCTGATGCGAGTCGAGTCGACTAATTTCAATTTCCCACAGCTATCGCAAGTTACTGCTGTCAGCGGTCTTGGCGTTGGCTCGACACTCATAGACCGCGCATTTGCCAGGCTTGTCTCGCAAAGAATGGCTACGAATCCCGACTTCAGATTGCCTACCGATTTTGCAGCGCGAATGGCCCGGAGTCCTGGATTCAAGAGTGTCAAACACAAGTTTGGAGAAAAGGTGTATATGCAGCCCGTGTACAAGATTGTGATGGAAGGAGTTGGGTTTGACGTGAGCCACGAAGGGCTAGGAGTTCAAGAAGGGCGTATGCTATTCACAAAGTCAGTTCTTTAACTCTCCCAATCCCCGTTGTTCTCAATAGCTTACTGAGCATGACTATTTTTGTCACAGACGAGATATACAAGCGCTGTTCGATGTTCATATTGAAGCAATCATGGAGAGAATCAAACAGCGACTTCACTGGTTGAAGGATCAAGGTCATTGTGAACAAGTGGTAAGTTTGTCTTCGGTTTGCGACGCTCTTAATTTTAATATCCGTAGGGATACGTGATTTTGTCAGGTGGGCTTGGGAGTTCTGCATACGTGCGCGAGGCACTCCAAGAACACTTGACAAAACTGCAACACTCCAACGCTCGAAACATCATCGTTATACCCTCTCAAGATCCACAACTTGTTGTCGCTCGCGGGGTTCTTGAGAACAAGCGTCAGAGGATGGAGTCGGGTAACAAGTCTGTTCTGAGCTCATGGATCGCTCGAGCAAGTTACGGCGTCATCGTACAAGAGGTTTATATGCCTGCACAGCACTTTGACGAAGACATTCGGCAAGATCCATGGAATCCAGATGTGAAGTGGGCAACCAACCAGATCCAGTGGTTGATTAAAAAGGTATGTCGTCCTGTTTGATGGCCTACCTTTCCAAAGGTGGTATGTGTTGACCAAATCGTAGGGAGATACTGTGAATCCTGACACCCCAATAAACAAACTCTTCGAGATCAGACTGAAAGATGGAGATACAACACGAGCTTGGGATGCGGAAATCGTGGTATCTAACAATGAACCACAATGGCTCCCTCGAAGTCTTAAACAGGCTGGTGCGATGAAGCTCTGCTCCGTGAGGAGCAATCTCGCTGGTATTGAGCAACACCAACTTGTTCTCAAAGAGAAACGAGGAACTTGTTTTCGGCGTGGTCATAAGTTCTACATTTGTAGATTTGACGTCCGAGTTATTGTGGCACCGGTCGATCTGAGGTTTGAGTTGTGGTTTAACAAGACAAAGTTCTCGGGGAATCACCAGCCAGTCTCAGTCCAATGGGATGCGGCTGAGAAGTAGATGCATCAGGAGGCGCTGAGAAACCCCAGGCTGTATTCAAATCGCATATATATCGATATATCCTAACGTGATCCGCACTATGGAATCGCATATTATCTTGAACCTCTCCAAAACGCCGTTGTCATGCCGTCGCTCTGACTTGAACTTCCCTTATAATTTTATACCGCCGACCTTCCCTTTCCATCTTTTTCAGGAACGTCTCGCCCTTTGAACATTGTGTGTTGCATTTGATAATGTATTAAACGAGCTCGGCGCTCATATAGACCTCTTGAATGGATGGGCTTCGGTATTCAGAACCCATTCGTCGAGACTGATGACGTTAGGTGCTGAAAAGAGTAAGTAATAGTACTTGAGAGTTTCAGCGATCCAGAAGCTCTCCATTTCGTCCTTAAGACCGTTCTGCGTCGCATCTGTAACATCTTCAATAGCGCTATTCGCAAACTCGGTACGGGTTGCGGCGATTGTGGCCTCGAACATCTTCCAACCCTTGTCCATCCAGGTAGTATCGCCAGTAATACGATACATATACCAGACAGACTCAACAGCTTCAGGTCTGTGAAAGCCTATGTCAGTGTGTAGAATCAAGCAGTGTGTAAAATCAACTTACCGAAGCAGGTAGTTCCGATTCTGGATATCAGTATAACCTGGGGGGAGTCGTTCCTTCTCGATTCTAGACTTAACGTATTCCTCATGTGTTTGTGGTCTCTCTGGAGGCACGTCGTCTAGGGAAACGACTTGTGCACCATGCACCCTAGCACCAAAACTGTCTGGAATCGCAGGTTTGGTTTCAGACGCCTTCCCCGCTGTGTCTTGAACAGGATTAGCTTTCTCAGTCTCAGTCTTGCTTGTGTCAGCCTTTTCCTCTTCAGCCTTATTCAAGCCGATCTTCTGTTTAAGAGAATTAGGGAGAGTCGAGCCGAATTCCGAACTATCCTCTTCCATGCTCTTGTCCAGTTCGGGCATCAGTATACCAGCCCGCTTGACCACCTTAGGGGCTTGAGCCGGTGAGTTATTTTCAGCTTGAGCTTGGGCAACCGGAGGCTGAGAGTTAGGAACTGCTGCAGCAGGAGGGGAAGCAGGGGCAGCAGCACTGCCTTCGGCAAGCTTCTTCAATGCCTCGCCTTCCGACCACTTGCTAAACTCACTGTCGCGCCATTCGCTATTGGGATCGAGATCCTCGTACCAACTCTCCTCACTGAAAGGGCATTTTTCCAGGGCAGGGCAAGCTACCAGATGAGCGTACTCAGGCATGAGACCGGTTGCAGTTGACTGATATGCCCATACACAACCATCAGTGAGCTTCTTAGCCTTATCAATGTCCCCGTCACGGCCAAAGATCTTGCCACCCAGTCCATACATGCCTCCAATAAAACAGGTTAGATGGGTCATTTCATAGTTCTTTGTCCACTCAGAGTCTCCCCTGCTTGAAGTAGTTAATTTTCCAGTGAAGAACACATCCCAGCCCTCGTCCTTAATCATAGGTCTGTAAAGTAGCCATTCATTGATGGCATCAATAGTGTTTTCGTACAAGGCACGGTACTTGGGTTCGAGGCCGTTCAGAAGTAAATATTGCTGGGGGGTTGTTAACAATTGTTATTGTGTGAAATCAGATGAGAATGCCATACCTTGGGGAAATACTCATATGCTGAATCCTGGGCCCCTCCCATGTGGTAGTGGCCGACGTTTGGGCTGCTGGCAACAAGGCCTTGAGGTTTGCAATCCCAGTCAGCCGTAGCCCCGTTCGCGGTCAAGGGCGGTGCCTGCTGGCTTACGGGCGGAGGCACCGACTGATCGGCCGCAGGCGTATCACGACGATGAAGCTTGTCTTGCCAACGACTATCATCTTGAGGAAGTTGTGGAGAGAAACCTGCATTTTCACCTTGCTTTGTGGGGTGAAACCCTTGAGGCTCCTTGGTCATATCGGCAGCGTCGACTTGCTTTTGAGCTTCTTGGCTGAGGCTTCCTGCCTGGGTGTCGACGGTTCTGTTACACCCAGAGGCATTGATGCGTTCCGGAAATAGGCCTGGAATTGCTGTCCCAGCAGCCTGCATGTCAACCAAAGCATCAGTGATACGATCAATAGCATCGTAGTATTTGGCGGTACCCGTCAACTGAGCGAGGCGAGTGAACTCCAGAGACAAAGTAGCAAGTTCGGCAATTCCAACAGTGCCAGCACGATGGGGTTGTGACGCATAGGGCTCACGCCATCGATAATACAATAATGGCATGCGGTTAGGCGTATCAAAGATGCCCATGAGGATCTCAGCGAGCTCAACAGCCTTGTCAAGCAGAATCTTGTACTGTCCGTTAGCTCCACCGCTCACATCGTAAGCCCCGATTAGACCACCCAAGTAGCGGATTGTAGTTTCAAAAACGGGAATGTCAT